TAGTTTGGTAATTAATTCTGAGTTCAATCGATAGATTCAACAAGAGTTTAAATTGGGGTATATTCAGAGCTTAAGAAATTGTCTTGGTTATAGCTGTAGTTTTAGCTTAAATTCAGGGGTAGTTTAGACATTTAGGATTGGGCAGCACATGGTAGTTGAAACTAGAATCTTCTAAGGCCTTCTAGAGTGGTACTTTAGTGTAGATTTCAATAATTTTAGTGGGATTACTTGGGTAACAAGTTAGAAATAAGGGACTAATTGAATAAATAGGTAAGGGACTGACATTGAAAACTGAAAATCTGAGGGCTGCCCTCAGTTCTGCCTATAAAAGGCATGCCTAAATGCCTTAATAAAAAAGAGTTTTGGAACCCCAAAAATCATTCTCTCAACTCTTCAGATCTGAAATAGATATTCAAAAGTCAAAAAGCCAAAAACAACAGAAAAATGATTAAAACAAAACTGTGTTATTCAAGTCCTCTTAGTTTAAATTCGAGTCCTGGAGGTTAATTTGCATTTCCTAGTTAGTTGCTAGCTAGTGGAAATTTCAGAAAGGTTTTCTGTTTGATTTCATATAGTTTTTTTAGTTTCGATCAGTTCATTTTGGTCACTACTGGATGTTGAATTGCTGAGATGTTTTCCTGGTTTCTGTGAAACTATTTTGGTTCAAAATCACTCGATTGTTGCTGTGTTTGACCGGTTGAATTCCAGTAATTGTTGGGTGCTGCTGACTTCTCCTTGTTTCTGTCTGATTCACATTCCAGGTACACATTCGAAATACCAGCTGATGTAATTTTTGAATCGAGAGGTTGAAATGAGATGCTCTTCTGAAACCTGTGTGTTCGAGTTGCCATAGCAAAGTAGATATTAGATAGTTCATGCTTGTTTAGTTTTGCCTCTACTTGTGTTGGCCTTGTATAATCTGACTGAAATTTGAACTGTAATGGGACAGGCTAGTTTAAATTTGTGACTGATGAACTTACTCTGGTATAGTGTAATGTAGAGTATCCTAATTTGTCTTCAGTAATCACAAAACAGGTTCAAAAATGGATGCAAGTTTTAGTAGTTAATTCCATTTAATTTTGTAGCTATGAAAATAGGTCCAAAACTGATGGTAAATTTCAGTAGCCGACTCCAGTGACCCAAGTCCAAACGTTGAAACCACTGGAGTGTCGAGATCTAATTTAGAAGAACTAATTTGAGTTAATAATTGAGTTGCTATTACTTTTGCTAAAGTTGAACCATGCTTTTAGTTTGATTTTCCAATTATAGTAACACTTAGAAAGTTCAAGTTATAAGTAGGTAATTTATGTCTGTTTCGTTGCTAATTGTTAAAAAGAGAAGTTAAACGCCGAATAGTAGTGTAGTGTAATTTGTGGGGTCTCTTGTGGTGTTAATCCATTAATGCTAATTTAAACAACTTCTTGTACATTTGACTCACGGTCAGACTTTGACATTTCTGTGATTTACTCGTTATTTTGGTGAGGAAAATGGGGCCAAGCAGCAGCCCATTTGTACCAACGCCTACGGTTTAATTTTGAGTCTTAATGCTCACAAGGTACGGGGGCGGGTTTGTTATCAGGCCCAAGTCATAGGGAATTTGTGCTTGGTTTTTGGGAAATAAAAGTTGGCTGTCCCATGGGGAGGTTTGGAGACCTTGTGCTGATTAATTACAAGTTTCTTTCCTAAAGTAATGTAACTCTTAAAACGATAACAATATATTAGGATTTTCATTTATTCTTTGAGACGAAAATATATAGATAACTCTAGTTGCTTTTAGGCTTGCCCTTTTAAAATAAAACGAGACGAGCCTCGCCAAAGAAAATATATAATTGCGGGGCCCTCAGTAAAAGCTAAAAATATATATTTAGAAATTCGGGATGGGCCGTTCAGCGAATTTCATGGCCTTCCTCAAAATAAATACGCATTAGATTCTTTAGGCACAATTTTAATAAAATTATCTTCTTAAACTCGGGTGCGCATTGATGCGACCCGAATCCAAATATCAACGAAGTCGAAATGTGTTAACAACCACGGGTGCATTGATTGCGACGTGTTCAAGACGCATTTTCATGACGCTGCAATTCTTTTAAAATAACGACAAAAGTGGTTTACGAATAAAAGGCACATAAGCTAGCATGTGTTAAAATCAGATAAAATCAAATACAACAGTTAAGCGACCGTGCTAGAATCACGGGGCCCGGGAATGCCTAACACCTTCTCCCGGGTTAACAGAATTCCTTACTCAGATTTCTGGTTCACGGACTGTTAACAGAGTCATAGTTTTCCTCGGTTCAGGATTCAACCGGTGACTTGGGACACCATTAATCTCCCAAGTGGTGACTCTGAATAATAATAATTAAATCCCGTTCCGATTGTCCTTTAACTGAAAAACTCCTTTATGCCCTTGCGGGTGAAGGTGAAAAAGGAGGTGTGACAGTAGGTAAGACTTCGAGATGACCGTACCAATCTAGGTTAGGTTTCTACATAAAATAGAAGTTATACCGATGTCTATGCAGAACACATGTCTCACCTGTAACGATGGGTTTGGCACGCCATATGCACGTTTAAAATAGAATCACGGTTGCATGGCATGACCACAACCCTATTTGACGTATCTACCTTATATACTGACCCGTATTCCCACCCCTTGGGAAGAGACGATAGCCTGCTATGTGGTCCTTTGAAAGAGCGGGCACATCCTGCCCTATTTTCACATCCACACACACACTGGATGATTTCTGAATGAAGTGTGACATGTTTCCTTTGTTGTTTGTGCAAATCAGACGAGGTCGGACCGAGACTCAGTTTCAACACCTCAGCGAGCAAGATGAGCCCAACCCACGAGAAGCCTAGACGCGGTTAATGACGAAGCCGAGCACAACCGCCAAATATAAAACCATCATTCAAGTGCGAGGCAAAGCGAGCAACTCCACAGCGCTGCTCCCCCTTTTGCCGACTTGCCAGGCCAAGGTAACAGGAAATTTCGTTTGATTTTAACTTACCACGCTCTCTTGTTGGTTCAAAACAAGAAACGTACAACATTCTCCAATGAAAGTAAAATTAAGCAAACTGGGACTCACCCAGGAAACGCACAACATTCTCCATTAAAAGCAAAATTAAGCAAACTAGGACTCACCCAGGAAACGAACAATATTCTCTAATGAAAGCAAAATTAAGCAAACTGGGACTCGTCCATGGAACGCCCAGTATTCCCTAGTAAAAACAAAGCCAAGCACACTGGGGCTCACCCCGACGCACTCATAAACAGTACGACGACGTGTAATGTTCTCCAATATATATATATATATAATGATACAATGAGTTACTATTTCGACCTTGCTTGAAATAACACCCCTACGGCTTACACCTGTCACACCTCCTTTTTACCACCCGAGGGGGTATAAGGGAGTTTTTCCAATTTAAGTGACAATCGAAACGGGATTATTTATTTAATATTCAGAGTCGCCACTTGGGAGATTTATGGTGTCCCAAGTAACCGGTTCAAATCCCGAATCGGGGAAAGAATGACTCTGTATTAATGTCTGCGAACACAGAAATCCGGATAAGGAATTCTGTTAACCCGAGAGAAGGTGTTAGGCACTCCCGAGCTCCGTGGTTCTAGCACGGTTGCTTTGATTATACTTGGTTTGACTAATTGTCTAATTACTATTTTCGGAACCTATGTGCTTTTACCTTTTACAATGCTTTAATAAAGAAAAATTATCTCGAAATGAGTCACGCGTACGTGTACCCATCTGTTTGGCACGTCAAAAATCATATCATGCGAACGTGTTCACAATTAATAACACATTATTATTATTAAGAAAGTTTAGCCGAAGTTACCCGAACGTATACTCCGATTTATTTTTAAAGAAATCATAACTGTGTCACGCGAACGTGTCCACAATTATAATAGTTTGATTAAACAACAAAAACTATAGTTCAACCCATTTAATGCTCAAATCGGCATATCCATTGTCACACCTCCTTTTTACCCGCGCCCTTTCGGGGCGTAAAGGAGTTTTTCCAATTAAAGGACAAATGAAAACGGGATTTATTATTAAAGGATCAGAGTCGCCACTTGGGAGATTTATGGTGTTCCAAGTCACCGGTTGAATCCCGAATCGAGGAAAATATTGACTCCTTTAACAGTCCGCGTACCAGAAATCTGAGTAAGGAATTCTGTTAACCCGGGAGAAGGTGTTAGGCATTCCCGAGTTCCGTGGTTCTAGCACGGTCGCTCAACTATCATATTTGGCTTATTTATCTGATTTTAATACAGGTTGAACCTATGTGCCAATTTAAACTCTTTACTGCTTTTATTATTATTATTTTTAACAAGAATTGCGACGTCGTAAAAATACATCTCGAACCACGTTACATCAATGCACCCGTGGTTATTGACACATTTCGACTCCGTCGAGATTTGGATTTGGGTCACATAAATGTGCACCCGAGATTAAGAAAGTGAATTATTAAAAGCGCACCTAAAATGACTAGCGCGTTATTATCTTTGGGGAGTGCTGTGAAATTCACTAAACGACCCATCCCGAATTCTAAATGTTTTATTTTTTAACCAATTATTGAGGGCCCCGCAATTTACGCGTTTTATCCGGCGAGGCTCGTCTCATGTTTTATTTAAAAGTCCATGCTAAAATGACTACGATTTTCTATATATTTTTGTCTCTAAAAAAAAAGAAAAAGTCTTAATTTTCTTATTAGTTCTACTACCACTACTACATTTGGGGTTGTTCAAGTCACTACTAGAAACATGTTTTTTTTGCCAAGGATGCGAAGCGACTGATTAAACCAATTGATTCAAGTTAGCCTTACTAGATCAATATTCAAAACACCTACGATTTTTAAGCTATGATATTGAAAATGTTATTAGCAAACAAATGTCAGAAGGTTGTCTTTGAATTAATGTCTATATCCTAAATGACAACCAATTTCTACTTATCACTACACGTGAAAGATGTAAATCTCACATTTTTGCCTCATGCTTCAAACTATTCTGATTTTTTTTTCAACATTTAAACTACATGAATAAATCATCTTACATCAAGATTGGTGATTAGCACCAATATGCAGGCTAATTAGCATAAACATACACGTCCAACTTCAGTCCACTTTATACAATCATATACAAATCAAATCTAAACTACCCTAAACCATTGCGTCTACATTACTTAGGCATCAACATATAACAGTCCAACTATACAAAGTAGTAGAAATTACATAACAATAGTATACAAAATGTTCTAACTACAATCAGTAAAAAAAAACTGAATCAAACTTCAGACTTCCATTTTATATGTATTCATGCTTCCACATATTTCAGCTTACAATAGCCAATGTTACAGTCGTGTACCTGGTATTGGAAACAAAAGAAGAGGAAGATGAGAAACAGCAAATGCAGTCGCAACACAGCAATAACAACAAACAGCAACAACCCAATAACAGATTAAAATCAGCAAAATCCCAGCAATAACCAATGGAACAGTAACGAGAAACCCACAACAAACTCAGAAAAACTAGTTGACAACCCCAGCAATACCAAACTGAACCAGAGAACTCCCAGAAACAAACAGAGAGCAGAAATCAACTCAGAAATGCAATGAAACAGTACTTTCTGATTCTCTATTCTTTAACTCTCAAAGAAGAACACTTTCAAGAAATTCTACTAACTGATTTTCAGCAATCAAAGAAGACTAGACTTTCTTACTCTCAATATTGAATTCTTATTATTGAAATTCAGCATGTTTTCACTCTCTAACTAACTGAACTTTTGTGTTAAAATCCAGTCACTTTCACTCTCAAACTAGACTGACCTTTTCAACATTAAAAGTAAGCCTATTTTATATATTTCTAATTCTGAATTTCTGATCTCCAAAATTCCCCCCTTAATCAGTCCAAATGCCTTCCATTTATAGCCATTACAGACCTGCCCCCTCTTTAAAACTTAAGTACCCGACCCCCCGACAACCAAAATCTGCATATTTCCACTTAAAACCCACTAAGAAATGCTTTTCCTTATTTTCCGCCCCAATTCCCTCTTGTTCCCCATTAACTTATTAATTTAAAGACATTTAATACCCCACTAACAAGACACTAACATTAAAATATTATCCTAACTGTTCCATTCCCAAATCACCCCTGAAACCCCTTAATATTATTGCCCTAATACAATCTATTAAAACCTTTAACTCTAAAATCTGTTCAAGCTAACAATTATCTAAAACTAACTCTGATTAACAACTATAACCAATCCTCCTGACAACTGAATGACTAAGGTTGAATTCCAATTGAAACAAATGAACTGAATTTAAATCTAAACCAAACTAACAAAACACAGAACTCAACAGAATCATTAAAGCTGAAGCTGAAACTGAATCAAAATCACATGAATGTAGAGATTAAACTAACACAATTCTAAGTCAAACCTATACAAGAATGCAGGATCATTGTCAGTATATTGACAATGCCCTGAAGCTAATTGCCTAAAGATCAGTATATACAACATTCGACCTCAAACCATTTGACGAAAACTACTAATAAAACTGAATTAATCGACGATAATTAATTAACCGATTGCCTATAACAATTGACAACAATCAATCAGAAATAGATAATCGGGCAATTTACGGGGCATTGACAAAAACAAGAATTTATAATAAAAACTTAATTAATCGACGAAACTATTCGAATCGATTATACAGCCTATAATATATACTCAGCAACGAACAAAAGTAAATTTGACCAAATAAAAAGGTCTGAGTGAGAAGAACAGAACAATTGACAAAAATGAAAAAATTAATATAACAGCTCTAAACATNCTCTAAACAAATAAACAGACATTTAAAACATCAAAAATAGAATAAAAGGAAAGAAAGAAAAATACCTTAAATGGAACAGAGAACAGACGGACTTGAATTGACTCGGACTTGAACTTTTTGAGGTCAAACGGACCTTAATCGAGCGTTCTCAACTGAGAACACTTCGACTAAGGTCAGTTAAACACCCAAATTCCCTTCAATTTCGGACAGAAACCAGTTTTGGTTTTCTAGGTTCTTACGTTTCGATTTGGGGTTCGAGTATTTCTAGCTAGATTCGACCCAAACCAAAGGTGGTTTGGGCACAAGGGAGGTCAGGGGGTTCCAGGGTATGAATTTGGGCTTGGTTGGGGTAGGTTCGAGTTCTGATCGAATCTTCAAATGGAGATTCGAGAAGTTCCAAGTTGATTCGAGGCAAGTGGTTCATGGATTTGGATCGGGGTGGTTAAATGCTTAAAGAGTGTCAATTTGGTGATCGGCGGCGTTGTTGCCGCCGGGTTTCAGGCGAAGGAATGCCATGGCGGCTAGGGTTTGGTGAAGGGGCTTCGTCTCTGAGAGACGATAATGAACAGGGGTTTGGATTGGGGGGGCTAGGTATGAGATTGAACTTATATAGTGGGGGGGGGGTGGTTTGATCTTGGTCGTTCGATCAAGAGAGATCGAGGGCCCAGATCAATTCACTTAAATAAAACGGTGTCATTTGGTCTCATTAAGAGACTAGGTTGACCTGGGTAAAATGGACCGGGTTATGGGGGAAACTGGAGACCGCTTTTGAGCCGTTGGATCATGCAGGATCAACGGCTGTGATTGATTGCCGCTGAAACGACGTCGTTCGGACGTCCGTGAGATTTGGACTGGCCTGGGCATCTGTTTGGGCCTGATTTTGATTTTAAAAGTCGGTCCAGTTCCGAATTTATTCTTCATTTCTTCTCTTTCTTTTATTTTCTTTTTTTTTCAATTCCTATTTTACAAACAAAAATCCTAGATTAAATCAAATCAAAATTAGCTTAGAAATACTAATTGACTCTTAATAATAATTAAAATCTAAAATCAAACACTAATTAAAACACAATCACATAATTGGACATCAAATGCTAAAAATGTAAAAATGCACATTTTGTAATTTTCATTCTTTTAAAACCATACATGGTTTAATTAATTCCTAATCGTAAAATACAAATCCTAAGTGCACATGCAATATATTTTTATTTTTATTTTTAATTAATTAGAATAGAAATAAACATGCACAGACAAAATACAAATAAATCCCAAACAACGCAAAACCATTTTATTTTTAATTTTTTGGGAGTAGTTCTCGTAGGGCAAAAATCACGTGCTCACATCCATCACAACCCATTAACATGTGAATCAATCGGACCAAATACTTGAGGAATTAAAATTGACAAAATCGTTGAACAAGTATAAACACCTATTAAGACAAACATCAATCAAAACAGAAGGAACCAAAATGCCAAATAACCATCCAATGAAACGAAACAGAGGGAAAGAAACTTATGACTAAACTTCAATACCATACATAGTCAATTGGAAACAACAACTAATATCATGTATATATATCTTGCTCAATTACATGTGCCCTTTTTTGATTTCAAAGGTTTTGAGCTTCAATTCAAACAAATATTTTTAGCAAATTAATCCATGTTAGATTCCATTTTATAAACAGCAACAAGAAAGTATGATTATGAAACCAAAGGGAAATTTCAGCCAAAACACATGAGACTTTAAAGTCATGTAAATGAGATGAATCAAAACGGACCTTTCACTGTAGCCAAATGAAAGTGCAACAGCAAGCTCCGATGGAAATTTGTACAAAAATCGAACCGTGACTGGCGCTCGATGAAACGACCTCGAGACTTCAACGACTGGCTTCGAGCAGATCTCACAAGCGAGCTCCAAAATGGACTCAAACCAACAAAATTCTAGCAGCGAAACGAGGCTACACAGCTTCAAAATCACTCTCAGAAACTGAAGTTTTTTTCTTCAAATTTTCTTCGAGTCTCAACACCAGAAAATCCAATTGTCGAACAAATTTTATTGATGATCAAAGTCAACACGTACAAAACAGAGAAGGATCCAACGGACCTTAAAAAATTGAATCTATGAGTTAGAGCTTCAACATCGAAGCCTCGCCAGAAACGTGACAACATTCAACGACGGACCTTGCATCGGCACCTCGGATTCGCAGACGGACATCTCGGACGAACCTATATCGAGACTACTGTTACATCAACTTCTCGAACGTCACTCGTCGCCTCCTTTTCACTCCTGCTACTTTCGCTGCTGCTGCCCTCCCGTTGCAGCTATGTGTATGTGTGTTGTAGATGGAAAGCTATGACGATGGAGGGCTTTCTTGGTCAGGGAGGTGTTTTGGTTGGTGTTGCGACTGGAACTGGGGTTATGAAGGAGATGGAATACATGGGGGGTCGTTTTTGGTGTTAGACAGATGAAGAGCTAACTTCTTCAATCTTCATGAAGAAGATGATCATTCCAGGTTCAAAAGGGGGGCTCCGGGTCGTTCTTTGAAAACTGCGCAGCTTTTGTACGTTTCTTTTTAGCCTCCTCCAGCCTTTTTTCGTTGCTCTTTTTTTATATGGTAGATTGTAGGGTTTTAGGTTAAGGGGTATGGACCTAGGAATTATGGGCTTGGAAATTATGGGCTAGGTCCAAAATTAGGCCTAAAAATGGGTTGCTCGAGCCCAAGCTCTATTCTTTCGCTGCGAATGAGATTAAAAATTCGGGTCCATTTATTAATTATTCCTACTATTCAAATAATTATTAAAATAAAACTAACCATTAAAATAAATCTATTTTTGGTATTTTCAAATATCATATTAAAATAGAAATACGATACTATTGTTGTATATATTGTTTTAAGATTTTTTTAGATTAAAAATGACTACAAAACATTAATGAACCTATTTTTGCAATTTTTATTTTTCTTGTAGAAAAATAAAGTAAACGAGTCAAAATTAATTAAAATAGTTATATTAGGCCTAAATTAAATATTTACGCGCTAAAATATGAAAAATCTTGGGGAGGGTCAAAAATCACATGTCTACAATAGCCATCGCCAAAATAAAGGTTTGACCTTGCTCGAATTACAACGGGTTACTATTTCGACCTTGCTCGAAATAACACCCTTATGGCCAACAGCTATCTCCAAAAGAAAGGTTCGACCTTGCTCGCATTACAAAGGGTTATTATTTCGTCCTTGCTCGAAATAACACCCTTACAACCAACGACCATCGCTAAAAGAAAAGTTCGACTTCACTCGAATTACAACGGGTTACTATTTCGACCTTGCTCGAAATAACACTACTACGGCCAATGGCCATCACCAAAATAAAGGTTCGACCTCGCTCGAATTACAACGGGTTACTATTTCGACCTTGCTCGAAATAACACTACTACGGCCAATGGCCATCACCAAAATAAAGGTTCGACCTCGCTCGAATTACAACGGGTTACTATTTCGACCTTGCTCGAAATAACACCCCTATGGCCAACGGCCATCGCTAAAAGAAAAGTTTGACTTCGCTCGAATTATAATGGGTTACTATTTCAACCATGATCGAAATAACACCCCTACGTCCAACTAACATCGCCGAAATAAAGTTTCGACCTCGCTCGAATTACAACGGGTTACTATTTCGACCTTGCTCGAAATAACACCCATACGGTCAACGACCATCACTAAAAGAAAAGTTCGACTTCGCTCGAATTATAATGGGTTGCTATCTCGACCTCGCTCGAATTATAATGGGTTGCTATCTCGACCTCGCTCGAAATAACACCCTTACGGGCAACGGCCATCGCCAAAAGAAAGGTTCGACCCCCCTCGAATTACAATGAGTTACAATTTCGACCTTGCTCGAAATAATACCCCTACGGCCAACGACCATAGTTAAAATAGAAGTTCGACTTCGCTCGAATTATAACGGGTTATAATTCCGACCTTGCTCGAAATAACACCTTTACAGCCACCGGCCGCTGTCAAATAAAAGAAAAGTTTGAACTCGTTCAAATATGTTAGAAATTGACTTTGCCGGAAATGATGATTCTAAGTTTAAACTCGTTCAAATTTGTCAGAAATTGACTTCGCCCAAAACGGCGATTCTAAGTTTGAACTCGTTCAAATTTGTAGAAATTGATTTTGCCCAAAATGACGATTCTAGGTTCGAACTCGTTCAAATTTGTCAGAAATTGACTTCGCCCAAAACGGCGATTCTAAGTTTGAACTCGTTCAAATTTGTAGAAATTGATTTTGCCCAAAATGACGATTCTAGGTTCGAACTCGTTCAAATTTGTCAGAAATTGACTTCGCCCAAAACGACGATTCTAAGTTCGAACTCGTTGAAATTTGTCAGAAATTGACTTCGTCCAAAATGGAGATTCTAAGTTCGAACTCATTCAAATTTGTTAGAAATTGACTTTACCCAAAACGGTAACTTCAAGTTCGAACTGTTCAAATATAAGTCAGAGCTTGACTTCGCCCAAGGTGGTGAATCTCAATTTGACCTCGTTTGAATCAAGACTGATTCCACCCGAAAACGAGCCAGAAGTCAATCTCAACCGAATCGGCAAATCCAAAATTACTTCATTCGGACTTATACGGCGGGATCCTACCCGATCAGCGCAGGGTCGGTTTCTCAATTGAAAAGATCAGGGACTCCTCACAAAGAAATTCTAGGGTCCACGCCAAAAAAAGAAATATAACAAACGGAAGGGATAGGAAAAGAAAATCAAATAGTGCACAAACCAAGGCAAAGCAACTGTTTTATTTAAATACACGTGCGCAACTGCCTCACCTTACAAAAGTCCGAAATAGGCCCCCCAAAAAGGGAAACGACAAAACAAACAAAAAAACTATGAAAGCTGCAACAACTTTTCACTTAGCGTCATCACCACCGTTTTCCCCATCATTGTCTTCAGGAAACCCATTCTCAACATTAGCATCCTCGCCAACCACCAGTGTCGCAGGGTCATAGCCACAGTTGGCACGAGCCTCGCGTGCCTTCGCCCGAACTTCTTCAAAGGTAGCCTCAGAAACACTGCTCGCCTCCCACAAACCCTTGTATATATCTCGTTTGGCCTCGGCATGGACCCACAACTCATACAAGTGGCAAGGTAAAATGACAGAGGCAGATTCAACTTGAGCCAATAATTGCGCCTTCTCGGCCTTGAGTGCCACGACCCGGTCCCCTAGGCTTGAAGCCTCCCGGTTAATCACACCAATACACTCCTCGAGCTACGCCTCCCTCAGCGTGGCCGTTTCCCTCTCAGATTCCTGCTCAGATTGGAGGACGCAAATAGTGTCCTATAGCGCCGCCGCTCTTGCCAAAGCCAAAGCGTTCTCGGCATTTTCCATCTCGTCCACTTTCCTCTCCAGCTCGACAAACTTCCCTATACATTCTACACTCAAAGCGTTGACTCTGGTGGCATTCTGCTCAAGTTCGGCTTGCAACGACAACACCTTCACTTGAAGATGCTCGCATTCCGTAGCTACCCCGTTTCCCAACTCAAGCTCTTCGTCTTTGGCACGGAGCAGCTCGTCGAGCTCACTGCATCTGCGGATGGACTGCATCAGCTCTTGATCCCTTTTCTCCAACTCCTCCCCGGTGGATTGGGTGTCGGTACCTGCCCTGAGCCGCTCATGCATCTCACGGCATTTGTTGCGATACCGCCGATACTTATCAAGCATCTTCAGAAAAATCTTGGCCCAAGTCTCAGCTCTACGAGAAATATTGATCTCCAGCATGTAAGACTAAAAACAAAGAGAATAAAAGAGTCGATAAAGGCCAAGGTCACCCAAAAAAAAGAAGAAAAACAAACAAAGAAGAGGAACTTACCTTAGGCCCATCGCGGTCACACTACGTGACAATTCGGCATTGCTGACATCCTGAAGAGCTTCGCTTTTTGTGGCAGACCATAGAAGGTCAAACTGCGGCACAAAATCCACCGTGTCTCGTAGAAGGTTGAGACCCGACGGAATTTCGAATATTTGGGAAGGACCTCCCACTCTTACTACAGTTCGGCTAAAGACCTCCACGAACATCCTAATATCATCAGGATCGATGTTAGATTCAGACTCATAATTATCAACCATGATGCCTTTTCCCCTCTCTTCGGCCGAAGAAGAAGTGCGGTTCGGCCGGGATGTCGAAAGGCTGCCCAAGACAGCAACGATAGCCTCGGGACTCCGTCTCTCTGCCATATCAGCCTGTTGACCGCTCACAATAGGCGGAGCCTCTGCGGCCGGGTTGGCACCACCATCAGTTTCGGGCACCGCCAAGGAAAGGTCTCCCCTCGAAGATGTTTCGGCTTGAGGAGCCACTTCCAACGCCACTCGTCGTCTCTTCGATGGGGCCTTTCCACTACCAGTGCGGGAAGATTAACCCGTTAAGCAGACATCAGGAACTGGAGTCTTTGGTTGAGGAGTAGCCTCCGCGCACACGGTGCAAGCACGTGATTTTTTCCCTATGAAAGAATTACTCTCAAAAAATTCAAAATAAAATGATTTTCCTTGGTGTGCAATTTTGAGAATTTT